TATATAACAGGGAAATGTCTTCAAAGTTCTGAGGGAAAAGAATTTAACTAGAATTCTATATTCAATCAAACCATCAGTCAGTGAGTAAGATGGGAACAGAAAAATTTTCAAGACATGCAGGATCCAGAAAGTTTACTTCCCACACAGCCTTGCTTAGAAAGTTACTTGAGGGCATATTACAACAAAATGAAGGAATAAACTTTAAAAAGAACAAGACAGGTAATCCCAGAAACAGTGGAACCAACTCAGGAATGTAATAAAGGCAAGTCACAATGTGACAGCTTGCATCAGACCTAGACTGCAATCAGTTAAGTCTGGAAACATTACGATGGAAGGCTCATTTGGTAGGAAAAAACAGATTAAGAACTTAACACAAGGTGTTAATGACTGATGATGTAAGATAAAGAAAGATGATTAGAAACTCAAAAAAGAAAAATCATTCAAGAAAGGAAATGTAATCGTAGTACCCTATGTGACTACACGGTCAACAATAATTATAAACATGGTTTATTGATAGTCGACTTTAGAATATACCTGTAAATAAAGCATGGAACATTCAAATGGTTACAAAACAGAGAAATAAGGTTAGTAATTACCAATACAGCACTTATGTGCCAGATACTGCTCTAAGTATTTTACACCTAATCTTCACAATAACTACACATGGTAGACATGGTTATCATCCCTATCTTATAGATGGGGAAACTGAGGCATGGAGAGATTAACTAACTGGTCCAAGTCATACAGCTAGTAGTGGCAGAACTGGATTCAAATTCAGATCGTCTGGTTCCAGAGTTCATGCTCTCAACCATTACACTATGTTGCCTCTCAGAATATAGATATTATCAACCCTAACAATACGAAAGTACAAGTAACACTCTATTACCCACAGATTTTGATGCAATCCAGCAGAAGTCATGCCAAAAGTAGAAAATTCTGAGGGCACTATTCACAAATGCAAGGAAAACTGATTTCTTTCCTTTCTGTTAAGTGCGGCAATTAATGGTAGATTCACATGATCTCCCAAGACTGGAGTCCCAATAAACCCTCCCTTTTTCAGGTTCCATAAAGAAATGTACTGTTCTTCTTAGAACTTAATTATACTCTGCCTTGTTCCTAAAAAAAGAGAAAACAAATAAAATTTAAAAAGGAAAGAGTGGGGCTATTAATATTCTCCTCTTACATCAGGAATCAAGGGATAGTGTCTCTAGTTAATAGCATGGAACAGAAAGACTGACATATATTGAAGAAATTGAAGGTAATTTCAGATATATAATATCGAAACTTTATAAATTAAGAAATAGTAGTATAAGCATATTATTAGTCATATAGCTAAAAATTACTAACAGAAGTAAAAATAGAAGCAGTTAATGGATTAAAAGTGGTTCTCCCAGGGTAACAGAAAGAGGGGTAGGGAGAATTAGGTCAATGGATTTATTTTTTCACTATGTATCCTTCTAAGAATTTAACAATTTATTACTCTGATTAAAAACAGAATATCTGACACATAATAGTTGATTTCTTTCTTTAAAACTACATATAATGGCCAGTCATGGCGGCTCACATGTATAATCACAGCACTTTGGGAGGCCGAGGCGGGAGGATTGCTTAAGGCCAGGAGTTCATAACTGGATAACAGCAAGATTCCATCTCCATGAAAAACAAAAACAAAAAAAACTACATGTAACTAGAAGGAAACTTTGAGTTCACCTAGCCAGTCAATTCATTTCACAGTTAAGATCTGGGAGACTGTATTTTCCATAGATGGCTGCATCATTATCCCCCATCCACATGCTCTCCTTACAACATGACATTGTTACTCCTCCATGTAGAGGTGGGGTCTATGTATGTTCCCTCCACTTAAATCCAGGTGGTCCTGCTGGAGAGATCATATAGAGACATTACAGAAAGACAGACAGATACAGACAGACACAGACACACACATACACACACACACACAGTGAAAGGGAGGGAGGAGAGGAGGACAGAGAGAGGAGGAAGGGGAAGAGAGGTGCAGGTGAGGTATACCCAAAGAATATTCCTAGCCCAGGTGTTAGCCTTATTAGTGGGCCTTCAGATTTTTGATGTCCAATACAGCAGCCACTAGTCACATGTAGGTATTTAAACTTAAATTAAAATTGAATAAAATTTTAAAATATTTTCAATCATACTAGTCACACTTCAAGTGCTCAATAGTCATGTGTGGCTTCTATTAATACTGTACTGGACAGGGCAGATGGAGATCTTTTCCATCAACACAGAAGGTTCTACCTGTAGCGCTGTTTCAGTAATTCCAGTCCCAAGCCTTGTAGCTGCCCCTGCTAATGCCTTGTGAAACAGAGATGAGCTATCCCACTGAGCCCTGCTCAGAATTCAAATTCATGAGCAAAATAAAGGTTGTTTTCAATCACTGATTTTGGGGTGGTTTGTTCACAGCCATAATAAGAGGAATACACAGAAACCAAAGCTCAGAATGTGAAGTAACCTGCTAAAGATCCGGAGTCCACAAAACCAGGTAAATGGGAGAACTAATCACATTTCAATGTCCAGTGTTTGTGAACAAATCAATAAGAAAATCCTCAATATTTGAACCCTCAGTATTTTTAACCCCAAGTACTCTGCCACTATGCGCCAGAAGAGTTGTATCTACTACTCCAGAAAAAAAGTTTAATGTTTCCTGGCTCTGAAGGAACAACAGGAATCTCAGAAATGTCAGCTCCCATGAATTAGTGACCAAAAATACAAGTCCTAGCTTATTTTATTTACTAGAATCACCATCTGAGTTACGTGAAGCTCCATTTGCTTTTCCAGTTTTTACACTTAACACAGTACTCTTCGCTTTTGAAGTATTTTGTAAGCCTTAAAATTTTTTAAATTAAAAAGTCAAAACACACACAGAAAACCTCTGGGAGTGTTTACCAATATTAAACAAAGGCTGCTTTCTCTTTTAAATACTTCCTTACAAAGCAAGGTACTTTAAATAAAGTACAATTTTTAATAATTTATACCAATGAAAGTTATAGTATTTTGGTATTTAAAAGAATTTCCACCTAAACACAAATATAGCAAATATTATGAAACTTTATTTTTAAAATGAATAATGAAGCTACATTGAAACAACCTGGGAGGTAGCATAGATTCTCCATCTGACCATAGCACAAAGCAAGACTTCATGTGTAGACGATAAAAATTACCAGCCAGCCCAAGCCTAAGCTGATATGCCATATCAAAATTTCCATGTGGGCCGGGCGCAGTAGCTCATGCCTATATTCCTAGCACTCTGGGAGGCCAAGGTGGGAGGACTGCTTGAGCCCAGGAGTTTGAGACCAGCCTGAGCAACACAGCAAGACCCTGTCTCTATAAAAGAACTAGAAAATTAGCTGGGTGTGGTGGCACATGCCTGTAGTCCCAACTATTCGGGAGGCTGAGGCAGGAGGATCGCTTGAGCCCAGGAGTTTGAGGTTGCTGTGAGCTAGGCTGATACCACGGCATTCTAGCCCGGGCAACAGAGTGAGACTCTATCTCAAAAAAATAAAATAATGTAAAAAATTGAAAAGAAAAAAAAAGACATAAAATTTTCATCTGTAAATTAGATGATTGAATAATTACTGTTAATTTTTAAAACTGTGATATTGGTCTAATAGCAGTGTTTTAAAGAGTTCTTATCTTTTAAAGATATATATCAGAATTATAGATAAAATAGTATCAGGAATTTGCTCGAAATTAAAACAGAGCTGGGGGGATGGTGTAGGAAAGCACAGACGAATCAGGGTAGCCATGAATTAGTGACTGCTGTAACCGGTAATGGGTAGTTCATTATACTCTATTGATACTTAAAAATATCCACAGCAAAAAAAGTTTAAAAAAAACAACTAACAAACTTCTCCAGTTAAATGCTTTTGTTTGAAAGGCAAAGTAAGGGTTATCAGAGTATGAAAAGGGGGCAACTAGTATTTCACCTATTAATGAGAACCAAAATGTCAGAAATAAGCACAAAATGTCTCTGATCTATAAAAATAATTATCACTCTAGTACATATCCACAAGTACTCTCAAGTGAGGATTATAGTTGAGTTAACTGACTCATACTTTAGAATGCTAACTTCTTAGCCCACAGCCAATAACTGGTAATAAAGCCAGACACACAAAAGGCAAAAGGTTGCTGAGGGTCTAATAGGATGGGAAAAGAGAGAACAACTACGTAAGACATGAAGTTTACCAGTAAGTATCATAACTTTTTGAAGAGTCATTTCCAGTATGTTTAGTGGAAAGGCCACAGGCTTTGGAGTCAAACAGAGATCAAGTTCCACCGCCACTTACTAGCTATATGAATTTAGCCAATTTAGTCTCATTTTTCTCCTCATAAAAATTAGGTGGTAGCTACATTAAGAGTCTTTCCTTGATGACTGAAGAGGGATAATTTTCAAGTATCTTGGAAGCAGATTCTTCAATCCCAGCCGAAAACTTGCCTGTAACCTTGTGAGAGACCCTAAGCCAGAACCACCCAGCTAAACTGCTCCCAGATTCTGGACCCTCAGAAACTCCCTAAGATAAAATATATGTTTATTGCATTAAGTTGCTACATTTTGGGGAAATTTGCTACACAGCAATAGATAACTTATACATTATACTTAGGGTACAATTTGTCTATTATTTGATCAGCTAAATATTAATCAAATTTAGAAATTTTTTTTCTAAATACAGTCCTTGAGCATCTTGCTATGTTAACTAGATTATACAGGGGAACTCTTTAATTCATCTGAATAGAGTGCTCATCACCTTGTAATGGCATGTTTATAAAGCAGGATATTACACCCGGCATTGAACTTGAATCTGACCCTGCCTGTATGCAAGAGAACTGTGAGGGTAAAAACCCAGACCCATGTGTCATGATTCAATACCTTAGGCCTTACACTATTACCATATACACTCTATCTCTGTATATATACACTATATCTGGGCTCTATATCTTAATATTAATAAAAGTACTCTTATTCCTACCTGAATGAGGCATTTGCTCACATCGCTAGCACAGAGTGCTTTGTTACAGCTCAGTGACACAGGGAGCCATGTCAGGAACATCAGGATGACTAGCGTAAGCATAACAACATAGTGTGACTTCATGTTTCTTCAGAGACAATCAGTAACTGCCAGGAAGCTAAACAATCAAAAAGAAAAAACACAGCCTTAATTCAAAGGCAAGTGCTAGGGTAAGAACAAATACAACGATGAAAAACAAAACAAAACCCAAGACTCACTGTTTGTGTCAAAAGACTTGAGCAATCATTCAAAGATCAGTCTCAATTAAAGATTAAGCATTGAAAAAATAACTTTATATAATAATGTCTTCATAGCCATTAGTACTGAAGCCAGTAACGTCTTCAAGGACCTAGAATACTGAAATTCCTCAGACTACCCACAAACGGTGACTGCGAAAGTTAAAGTGAATATAACTAAACCCTCAGAAACGTGACAGTATATCAAGCAAATAATTAGTTTCAGTACTGCACTGCTAGTATTCAACTTTAGTTTTAGGTCCATTATTCAACTTTAAGCCCATATAAAAACTGTTACTATTGTATTATAATTCAAAAACATTTAATATTTTAATTCTTAGAATCAAAACAAATTTTAAATGGAAATTGTTCTAGTTATTATTTAGCCAGAATAAAACAGCTCAAAGAAAGTAGAGTCCACAGAGTCACTTTTTAAATAATTGAGCAAATAAAAAAGGAGACAGTAAATTATTAATTGCATTAAAACCCCTAGGTAATCTACTGAACTGTGAAGATACTCTTTTAATTATATTAGTAAGACAGATTCTTCGAAGTTATTATGAAGATATTATATTACAGTTTAAAAAGAAAAAAAAGCCAGCCCAACAAACTCTGACAGGGGTTAAACAGCCAACATGGTCATACGCTTTAAAAAAGAGAAGATCATGGAGTTAAAACACTCCCTGCCCAAATATAATGAATTAAAATAAATGACTAATGATGTAAGTGGGTTTACGGGGCCTTTATGATCACTCTAAACTTTTATTCTAAGTATTACAAAGTACAACAAAGGAAAAGCAATAAGAAGGTGAAAAGAATAAGGGGCTTTATACCCAGGGTGACTCAATTTTGAAAGAGAAAGCCCTGACGATGGTTACTGAGGCCCACAAAGCATTCCCTAAAGGCCCTTAGTAACCCAATTTTCTAATTTATTTAACATCACATACCAAGACGGATGATTTCTGGAGCCACCAGTGCATATTTGTGGAGGCCAAAGAAGGCGTCTGAAAACTAATTTTTCGGGAACTAGTTTTCATCCACAACCACTAAAACGGTGATTCCCCCTCCCCGCCGTCTTTTATGGTCATCTTTTGATGCGTTTAACAAATTCATCTTACTCTTAAAATCTTACTGGAAAAAGTATTCAAGTAACTAAGGCCACGTCCAGATCAGGGCTGCTTGTTTTTTCCTAAGGAATTAGACACAATAACGCATCAAAATTGCTTTTCATACATCCTGACCAGACAGGCGACCTGTGGTCCCTCAGGGAGACCGCACTGACAGCGACGCGGCAGGGCAGAAACGGCAGCCTCCGCACAGCTGTACCGGAGCCAGGGGGGCCGGGCACCCATCACCCCCGCTCGGCGGGCGTGGGCCGCGGAGAATGAGGCTGGACCGAGGGCCGGCAGCAGCGGTGGTCGGGAACCAGGGGGCCGCGGAGATGCCGCCGGCTCGCGGGGACCCGGCCTGCGCGCCCGCGCCCTGGGCAGACCACCCGGCACCGCCACTCTGTCCCCCGCGTATCCCGGCCCAGGCTTCTCACGGCCCCCAGAGGCCCGAGCTCGGCGCCCGGCCCCTCCCGGGCCACGGAGGCTGCACCCCTTCCCCCCGCCGCTCCCGCTCACCGTGCGCCGCGGTGCCGCGAGGCCGCTGCCCCTCGTCCCCCGGCGGGTCGGCCGAGTCCGGGGCGCGCGCGGCGGCTGTGCGAGCCAGGCCAGGCCGCGCCTCCCGCCGTTCCCTCCTCTCAGCGCCCGCGAGCCTCGGGCACCTTAAAGAGACAGGCCACTCCGACACCCTCCTCCCGGCTCCTCGCTCCCGGCTCCAGGCTCCCCGCTTTCCCTCCGCCCTCGCTCCGGCCCAGCCGCCGCCAGCTCCTGCTAGGAGGCGTCTCTCACTCCCCAGCGCTGCTGTCAGCGCGCACGCCCCGCTAGGCCACGCCCGCGCCGGGCCACGCCCATCACGACCCCGTGTCCGCCCTAGGCCACGCCCCCTCCGCAACTCGGAGCTCGTGGGCTCGGGCTCCCACGGGCGATTTGCTTCCGCGCTCTTCCGCTCCCGCAGCTCCGACCCCGGAGGCAGCCGGCCTGAGGCTCCAGCAGACTGTCGGGTCAGACTCGTGCTCTGGGTCCCTCCGTTGCAGTGCTAAGAACAGCTCCGCAGGGTTAGAGGCTGGTCCCTTGCTAGTCACTGAGCCGAGGACGTGCGGTGTAGTAAATAAAAATCGGCTCTTGGATGCTTGCAGCTGCCCGGTGCGGGAGCTCTTACTGGCCGGTTCGAGGGATGCAAGACTGAGGCACGCAGGACGGCTGGGCGGCCTAGTCCGTTACCGAACGGAGCTGGCCCTTGACCCTTGTTCAGAGGCAGGATTTATTAAAAATGCAGCTTTCTGGGATCAGCCCCAGACCTACTGAATAAGGATCTCCAAGGGTAAATGGAGAGGAGGGTCAAGGCCTGGGGAGACGGACAGACCAGTGGCGATGGGGCACCACCCCGAAGCCTACGTAGGCGAGGTCTGTAACATGTGGTAGCATGCCCCACTCGGGCACTCGTTTTAGTCTACATTTTAGAAAAATGGGGTTCATCCTGCCAGTAGTTACTAGCATGTAGGTAAAGAAAGAACCGAGCGCCATTCTCAGTTTTCTTTACCTACATGCTAACTATTGGCGGTTATTTGCTTTTGAAACAAGATTCCAGGGTGATTAAGTTGGAGCCCACTGGAAGATGGTCCACAGGGCACTTTCCCCTTGGACATAATGACCTAGTGTCAGACCCTGAGGCCAGTAAGAGTTTTAAATGCCTTCCACTGCCATTCGTCGATTGGAAGGAAACAGAAGAATGGAAATAGCTGCTTGGCTGAGGGGTGGATCACTTTGATATTAGTCCATTTTTGTACAATAAGTAAGTATAGGTTTTAAAAATCATCCTTGGAAATTATGCTAAAGAAATAATTAAGGATGTACACAAATTTAACTTTAAGGATCTTACTCTTCGTATTACTTACTGGTTAAACCAATTAGAAACCTCTATCAATTGACTGATTCAACCATTAAAAAATGATATTGTAGATCAGAGGTTCTGAAACTTTTTGGTCTCAGGATCCCTTTGAAAATTATGGCGGGCTCCAAAGTTTTGTTTAGGTGTGCTATTATACATCTACTAATACTTTTGAAATTAAAACAGAAATTTTAAAAATACTTATTCGTTATTTCATTAAAAATAACAATAAGCCCATCATATGGTAACATAAATAACATTTTATGAAAAATAAGTATATATTTCAAAACAGAAGAGTGGAATGGTTTTAGACTTTTGCTTTTTTTTTTTGAGACAGAGTCTCACTCTGTTGCCCAGGCTAGAGTGCCGTGGCGTCAGCCTAGCTCACAGCAACCTCAAACTCCTGGGCTCAAGCGATCCTCCTGCCTCAGCCTCCCGAGTAGCTGGGACTACAGGCGTGCGCCACCATGCCCGGCTAATTTTTTCTATATATATATATTTTTTTAGTTGTCCAGATAATTTCTTTCTATTTTTAGTAGAGACAGGGTCTCGCTCTTGCTCAGGCTGGTCTCGAACTCCTGACCTTGAGCCATCCACCCGCCTCAGCCTCCCAGAGTGTGTGCTATTTTCTTTAATGTCAAACTTAGTAAAAGCTCAATTTTTATTTCTGCTTCTGTATTTAAACTGTTGCAATATCATATATTATCTAGCCTCTAGGAAATTTTACTATATATTTGTGAGAGAATGAGAGTGAAAAGGGCAAATAATATCTTAGAATTAAAATAAAAATAATTTTGAACCCCCTATAAATATACTGAGACTCCCTCCCACCCTGGGTCCCCAGATCAGACTTTGAGAACTAGTGTTGCAGATGAAGATTGTTGACATGGAAAATATTCATGGTATGTAAAAATTTTAAAGTATTGTATATATTTTTAGAATAATTAACTTTTAAAATTGTGTATACAGTTATTTTGAAAGGTCTAGAAAGATAAGTATGGTGTTAGCAGTGGTTGTCTCAGTGAGATGGAGTGTGGTTTATTGTTAATGATGTTTCTTTTTGCTCATCTGCACTTTCTGATGTCTTTGCTTGTATTATTTTGGTAATAAGAAAAAAAATACAGTTATTTTTTATTTAAATTAAAGATCCTCTTTGACAGTCCCCAGAAGGTCAAATGGAGCCTTCAGGGGGATATTAAGGGGTTCTGGACCTGGAGTTGTCTGTTGGGAATCTGGGGTCCATTGCAGTGGCTATTTTATTTTACCAGAAGCCTTTATGATTGTTGTGAGTGAGAGAGTCTTACAGTGTCATAGAGCAGGAGTCCCCAACCTATGGTGAGTTGTATAATTATTATATAATACAGTGTAATAATAATAGAAATAAAGTGCACAATAAATGTAATGTGCTTGAATCATCCCGAAACCATGCCCCCCACCCCTCCCCAGTCCGTGAAAAAATTGTCTTCCATGAAAACGATTCCTGGTGCCAAAAAGGTTGGGGACCGCTGCCAGAGAGCTTCTCAGTCAAATGTGCTGATCCCCCTGACCTTCAGTCAGATGTGGATGGGGACTCTCAGCCATAGCAAGGGGGTTTCATCAGTTTCCTGCTGCTGCTGTCGCAAATTATCACAAGTTTAGTGGCTGAAAACAACACAAATTTATTACCTTACAGTTCTAGAGGCTATAAGTCATAAAATCAGGGTGTCAATAGGGCCATTCTCCTTCTGGAGGCTCTGGGGAGAATCCGCTGTCTTACCTTTCTAGCTTCGACAGGCCACCTGCAGTCCCTGGCTGCGGCCCCTCCCTCTATCTCAAGGCCAGCAGCCTTAGCATCTTCAGATCAATACCTTCCTCCATCCTTTTTCTGGTTCTTTGTCCCAACTCTTCTACCTGTAAACTGAAAATAAAATTCTAAGTCCCCAGCCAACTGAGTGGACCCCCTCTTGGCAAAGACCCAGAGAAACCAGAAAAACTGAGTTCCCAGCCGTGATGGGATGGGAGGTCAGACACACCTCCTTATACCCCCTCCCTTTTGTGGTTTAAACAGAATAATTCACCACTATTAATGTTAAAATAGAGATTATAAGACTGACAGAACCGACTCTCTGTGACATTAAGATGCCGAATTATCAACAGAACCGAAGGCCATGCCAGATAAAGGTTAAGTCACGCACCCCTATGTTTAAAGAATAAACTATGTTCTAACTGTGACAAGGTTTACAGTTACTGAATATTTCAAGCCCACCAACCTACTGCTTTCACTAATTATGCTGATTTTGAGATTCTTCCACATTGTTGTATGTATCCGTAATTCATTCATTTTCGTTGTTGAGTGGCATTCCGTTCTACGAGTACAATTTATTTATCCATTCATCAGTTGATGGACATTTGGGTTCATTCCAGTTTTGACCTATTATAAATAAAGTCGCTATGAAAAATGACATATGTTTAT